AGCCCAGAAAATTAATAAATTACAGATAGGCAATGCCACAGATGATAAATTATCTACACAGAATTCTCTCTACTTAAAAGCTGGAGCTTTTACAAACTTGCATAACCCCATCCAAAATGCAAAACAAATGCATTCTTTATATAAGTTAAAACCAACAAACTATTTCCCATACATATTACTGTGCAGAAGAATTTCAAAATTAAAAAAACCCACTGAAATCAAGTGTAAGAGTCCTCAAATACAGTGCAGAGTCCTAGAAAAATAATGCACTCATCCTGTTCAAATGGCACAGTTATCAGAACAGGTGTCTGTGAAGGCTATTTAAAGTATTGACTTCATAAATTAGAAATGAAGAAGCCTTTAAAATGAGTACAAGTAATGGAAACAGTGCAAACTGAATTAAGGAAAAGAGGGGACACGGATCTATTTTTCATGATTCTCCAATAACAGGGAGAATCAAACCAAACCCTCTGCAGGAGCCCCAGGTTTGGCTCCAAAGGACTGAACCCATGGCACCTGCAGCACAGTCATGGTTGGTGAGTTCCTGTTATGAGAGCAAGGAAGACTTACAGAAACCAGCCAGACAGGATATGTCTGACCACACAATTTGACTTCTGCTTTATGGTCTTAACCAGCACAGTGACAACTGTGTTTGCTGGGAGCATGAAAAAGGGTTATAAACATATTAGAGAAGAAAAAATGCATGAGGGAGCTGAACCAATAACCTTCTTCATTGTATTTTAGCTCGAGCACAATAGCTACTTCAAGTGTTTTGAAACACTTTTTAAGTGAATTATAATTTTATCCTGAGTTCTTTGAGGAATTTACAGGTTAATGTCCATTTAACAATACAAAATTTCACAGTCTTTCCCTTGGTAACAATATTCAAGTTTTGAATGCCCTCAGCTCCCCTCCAAAGTAACTTCTGTTTTCTTTATATTTAGTTCCTTTCTTTCAAAATCCAGGACAGTCTACTTATTCTTCAACTGTTAACCCATTTTTCTATCACATTGCTTGTACTGCAGGTTATTTCTTCAACTAGTCGCAGAAATTTCAGCTAACTCATTCTATTTGTTGATGGCATCTTGAGCAGATTTATAACACAAATTTTGTCTCAGAAAGTATATATACATGGACAATGTTTTGACAGCAGTCAGTTTCTTGTGCAGTTGATAAGACTGTAAAATTTTATCTATGGATGTAAAGCTTAGTTTGAGAGATTAGAGAACACTTCCAGATGTTTAGTAAATCAGGATGTTCTACAAACCTCTTTATGTATCTGAGACACATTTTCAAAGTCACAAGGGGGAAATAAGGAACCCAGTTCCCACTGAAAACAAAACCTCACCCCCTTTAGTAAGAAAGCTGAGATATTTCCCTTTATACATGATGATGTTGTCCTGTGGATGGAGAAATTATTTTATAAAAAATGCACAGAAGAACATTTCATAGTATGGTTAAAATTGTGATGTCTTAAGATATAAAATACAATGAGAGGTTTTTTTGGGGGGGGTGTTATTTCCCACTAACCCATCTGATACACTAAGGAGGAAAATATTAACAAGCTTTCAGGCCCACAGATCTTAAACAGAGGAGGCAAAACATGTTTGGAAGTGCAAACCAGCAGTGACACCTTTGTGTCCTAAACCTATGTGTGTGCAAGCACAGTGTGCCATTGTGACAGCATTATTAAAATCAAATATTCTTAAACGACCTAGGAGAAGTCTAGATTTGGGTGTCAGTAGGAATCTTGCCACCAACTTTAGTGGCTAGGTTGATGTCACCTTTGGTCATTGTCCCTGAATTTGGCCCTGAGTTGAGGGCAGCACTGGCCAGTTTCCCAGTGACAGCTTTAGGATTTCACAAGACTTAAACTCAGGTGCAGATCATGGGTCTCTGCTGGCAAGGAGATCTGGTAGCTTAAACTGAATTAAAGGTCAGTCCAACTTGAGAATCCAAGCAAAAACTGGTAAAAATTGGAGACATAAACCAAAAAGAAGTAGTTTTGCTGCTGTGGAATCTTCCCAGCCTGCTGTGGCAGGAGGTTTGTATTTTAGATGCTGGATGAGAGAAGCAGAGCAGCAGTGACAGGGTACAGATGCATGGGTAGGCCACAATATCTACTGGATTGCTTCAGGAGCAGTGGGCTTGCATCAATGTCAGCCAAGTCCAGTTTAATGTCCAGAAGTGCCTCATCCAGCCTCTAAACTGCACTTTTTTTTATGAGAGCCTGTTAACAGCTACAGGCATAAAATCAAATAAAGGCCAATGGTTATGAGCTTGTAACTATAGGGAGGCCAAATGTGAGAATGAATGTAAAAGTACAATGAGCTGGAAGGAAAAAAGAAAATAAGGTGTCTGTATAATTTGCCAAGGTTCTATGAAAAAGAACCGTACTTTCAATTCAAAAGCACAACTACACTTGATTTATTCACTGTTGTTCACCTTGCTCCTACCTTTGCCTCTCAGCAGACTAAGCAGATTTTCATGAGAGTAGATTTCTTGTGTCTATGCCCACGCTCCATTCACATCTATATACATGAGCTGGAGTGGCATATGGCTCTTTAGGCAAACTGGATATCAGTTACACATAAAACCCAAATGTTATTTCCCTGGCTTTGGTGGAGTTACACACTGATTGTTTCAGCAGCACAGTACAATTTAAGTGCTAAACAAACCACAACAACACATGCATATTTTACTCCCCGTTTATTTTTTTCTATGTCCCAGTTGGCATTTTCTCATTAGAAATATGAAATCATTGCTCAGACATTTGCTTGTATCATTCCTTTTGCTATGAGTAAAGTTTTGAAAAGCTTCAATTCTTCTTATCTGGAGCCCCAAATTATTAGCTGAAAGTTTGAGCTCCAGTTCACATAACTTCAAGATACCCTTGCTCATGACTTTGCAATTACTTTAGTAATTTAACTGAATATCTTGAGGTTTTATGTCTCTGTCTGAATATCTTGTGTTTTATGTCTCTCCCTTTTTGAAAGATCCTAAATCCCAAATATTCATGTGATTTTGTAGCTGGTATTTACTAAATTTTAAACCCCTATTGAGCCAGTTAGATCAGACATTCTTTCACCCTAATCCCAGTCAGACCAAAGCTTAGACTTCAAATTCCTGTACCTTGCCCTCTCAGATTCTAGATACCATTATGAAACTTCCAAAAAGGAGGAACTGACCACAAATATTAGAAATCTGCTTCAGAGATTATTCAGGTTTCATGCCAAAAACATACTTTTTGCTTCCTGTTTGAACTTTAAAAACCTCAGCTTCCATTCATTTAATCTTCTTGGGGCTTTGCAAGCTTTTTTAGAAGCTTTTTTCAGGTTGCTGTTTGTTAAAGAGGACTTGAGAGGACATCTGATTTCAATTTCATTTTGTTCTATATGCTACACTTTGTTAATGTGATTACTGCTTCCACATTTCAGTCTTTAATTAGAATTCATTACCTGACAGAGCTTAGTTTCAACACCATGTCCTTTCTCTTTTACATGCAGCCACAACATGTTCGCAAATTACACTTCAGGTGAAAAAAAAACCCTAACAACCAAACAAAAGAAAACCTTCAGAGTAAACTGCTTACAGAATAGGATAAGAGGAATTTTTCTTCCTATCAAAACTAAGCATATTCACTTCCAAGCCTTCATAGTCCAATTCACGAAGTTACGCACGGGGAAGAGTGGAACCAGCGCTGGTTGCAGCACAAAGGTAACTGGAAACAGAATATATTTCCTTCTGCCTCCCTAAAGCCCGGGATATTCGGTTACAACTTGGGGATCGTTACACGCATTTTATTATAGTAAAAGCTTTACAGTTAAAGAGACGCTGCCTTGTGTGTAGGTGCATTCACTACGCACAGGTTTGCGCTATAAAGAATACGACCGGAGCACCAGAAGTGAACGCGCACCAAGCTGCAACTCCCTTGGGGACACCGGGTGCAGACTCGGCACGGGGCAGCTGCCCAGGCCGGCAGGAAGGCACAGGGCAGCCGCAGGTCGCAGTCAGTGCCAGGGTGACGATGATGAAGGAGCGGAGGCAGCCCCGGATGCGGAGCAGCGCTCCCGTCCCGCCGCCGGACGGTCCCAGCCGGCCAAGGGCGCCCCCCAGCGGGCGAGGCGGGCGCTGCAGGCAGCGACCACCCGGGCGCCGCGCTCCGGGAGCGCAACCGGCGCCGCCGCTCCTCGCACCGATCGCTGCCGCCCCCATCGCACCGGCCCCTGCCACCCCCCGCGGCGGCCGCCGCGCCCCCGCCGAGCCGCACCGCTCCCGGCAGAAACACCTGTCCGGCCGCCGAGCGGCAGCGAGCGCCGCAGCACCGCGCCGGCCGCTCCTCCCGTGGGCCGCCGCGGGGAGTCTCCGGTCGGGCCGCCCGCGGGGCTCGGCGCGCTCGGGGCGCGGGACGGGCGCGGGCGGCGGCGCTCGGGGCGCTCCTGCGCCCGCCGGGGGTTCCGCCGGGGCGGGCGCGGCGGCCGCACCTGCGGGCACTGAGCATGCGCGCGGCGCGGGGCACGCCGCGATTGGGAGCGCGGAGCCAGAGTGGGACGGAGCCGCCGGGAGCCGCTCCATGGGAGCCGCTCCATGGGAGTTGATGCCGACGCTGCTGCCGCCTCGGACCCCGCGCCCTGCGAGGATCCAGCTCCCGCCGGGGACTCCCGCCGGCCGCGCGGAGTCTTCTCCGGAGCCGCGGGCTGCCCGGAGCCGGGCATGACCGGGCGGGCGGCGGGGGCCAGCCGTGCCCCGCTGCCCCTTCGCCGGGGGCCGGGCGGAGGCGGCGCCGCCGCGCTCCCTGCCGCGCCGGGGGTGCGCCGCCCGGCCGTGCCCTGAGGAGCGGCGGCGGCGGCGGCGGGGGGACGCGGGCGGCTCGGCGGCGGAGCGGCCGCGGGACCGGCGGCGGGGCGCGATGAGGGCGGCGGGGCGGCGGCGGCGGGGCGGCGGGGCGGGGCGGGGGCTCCGCCGGGCTTTCTAGGACGCCGACGCCCCGCACACCCACCATGGATCTGCTGCTGTTGGTGAACACGAGCCTGGGCTCCCCCAACGAGTCCCTGGCGCTGCTCCCCGCCTCGCCGTCCTCCTCGGCCCTCCTGCAGCCGCCCTCCCCCTACTCGCCGGCGGCCGTGGCCGGCCTGGCGGCGGTGGTGGGCTTCCTCATCGTCTTCACCATCGTGGGCAACGTGCTGGTGGTGATAGCTGTGCTCACCAGCCGGGCGCTGAGAGCCCCCCAGAACCTCTTCCTGGTGTCCCTGGCCAGCGCGGACATCCTGGTGGCTACCCTGGTCATGCCTTTCTCCTTAGCCAACGAGCTTATGAATTACTGGTACTTCGGCAAGGCTTGGTGTAACATTTACCTGGCGCTGGACGTGCTGTTCTGTACCTCGTCCATCGTCCACCTGTGCGCCATCAGCCTCGACAGGTATTGGTCGGTCACACAGGCGGTGGAGTACAACCTCAAGCGGACACCGCGGCGGATCAAGGCCATCATCCTCACCGTGTGGCTCATTTCAGCCATCATCTCCTTCCCGCCATTGATCTCCGTGTACCGGGACCCTGAAGGAGATGTCTTTCCCCAGTGCAAGCTCAATGACGAGACATGGTACATCCTTTCTTCTTGCATCGGCTCTTTCTTTGCCCCCTGCCTCATCATGGTGTTGGTCTATATCCGCATCTACCGCGTGGCCAAGCTAAGGACCAGGACCCTCTCTGAGAAGCGTACGATGCCAGAGGGGTCCTCCCAGACTGAGAACGGCTTGAGCCGCGCTGCCGGCGGCTGCACGTCCCTGAGGATGCCGCTGGGAGAGAACGGACATTATTCGGCGCACCACTGGCGCAAAGCCTCTGAGCTGGAGGACATTGAGCTGGAGGAGAGCAGCACCTCAGAGAGCAGGCGGAGGCGGAGCCGGGAGGAGCATCGCCGCAAAAGCAAGAGCCAGTCCTTCTCCTACTCGTACTCCTCCAAGCACTCCAGTGGCCGCCTGTCCCGTGCGAGCAATCGCTCCATGCAGTTCTTCTCCTACCGCCGCCGCCGGAAGCGTAGCAGCATCTGCCGTAAGAAAGTTGCCCAGGCCCGGGAGAAACGCTTCACTTTTGTGCTGGCTGTGGTCATGGGGGTCTTTGTAGTTTGCTGGTTCCCTTTTTTCTTCAGCTACAGCCTCTATGGTATTTGCCGGGAGGCATGTGAGGTCCCCGAGACTCTCTTCAAGTTCTTCTTCTGGATTGGGTATTGCAATAGCTCCCTCAACCCAGTCATCTACACCATCTTCAACCAGGACTTCCGCAGGTCCTTTAAACACATTCTTTTTAAGAAGAAGAAGAAGAACTTCCGGCATTGAGCTGGAGGGATGGATTTGCCTCGAGCAGGAGTAGAGTTAACAGAGAAGGCTCAATGCTGGAAAAGAAGGGAGGGGAGAGAACGTGGGGCTTGGGCTTAGGGAGCGGGAAGAGGGCTCGCCCCCTCGGAGGAGCAGGGGGATGCTCTGGGGGACAGGGATGGTGTCAGGGGAGGCAGAGGGCACTCACCACGGTGCAGAATGGTGACATGGAGCTGGGGGAGCAGTGCTGGAGCGTGGAGGGGTGAAGGGGGAGGGAGTGACTGTGTTTGAACCCTGACAGAGGGCACGGGGAGCCCGCAGAGCAGAGTAGGCTGAGACGCTGAGTTTGGGAGGCAGTGAGCTTTCAGGGGCTCTGGAATTTTGTGGGGAAACAAAAGGAGACATCAGAAGGAGAGGGTTAAGTGGCAGTGGTGGTGGAGATTTGAGTATATATAAATAGGGCAGCTGGGGCCTATGGTGGATTTGTCCCAGTAAGAAATTGGCTTTTACTGCTTGTGTGGGCAAGGAGAGTGCAAAGTACCAGGCACTGACAGTGTTTTGAGTTATGAAAGGATTTAAATGTTTGCCAAAAAAACCCTAAAGAACAATCCAAACTCTTTTCTAAATAAACCTTTGTACTGTTAAAACCTTCTGAATCATGATTTTGCTCAAGGGATGAAGTCAAACAAAGCAAGGGGTTTTCTTTTCTTTTGGAGGGGTCTTTGCCTATAGATCTGGATGGGAAATATTTTTCCTATCTTCCCATAGTTTTTGATTAGTCAGTGAGACAAACCCAGGAGTGTTGCATTTTTTCATGAAATATGAAAAAGAACACATATACCCCATGACCTCATTTCCTCCTGCTGGATCACCAGGCAGTAAATTCCTGCTCCATCCTTCTCAGATCAGTGACCTAAGGACCTTGCTGTCCTGGAGCAGATAGTGAAAAAAAAAAATATTCTGGTGAGCTTGCCTAACATGTTTTGAGATAAAATAAAATAAAAAAAAAATCAACTTTCCACTTCTATGTGCCCAGGGGAACTTTTCCTCCCCTTTTTTCAGTCTCCCTTCAAAGGCTAATCTCAGGGCTGGATGCGTGCTCCTCATTCTCAGGCAGGCAGTTGAAGGCATTCTGATATGCAGGTTTTCAGAGGAAGAGCAATCACCCCACTACTAGGGTCTTTATATCCTTCATATTTACAGTCTTAGAGCAATTAAATCCTTTTTATTTATTTTTTAATGAGAAGCATACATTGCAGATTGTCAGCGGTGTATGTGAACAAATCTCAAAAGGAGGTGCAGCTGTTCCAAACCTTTGGTGTTAATGTTGCTTGCTTTCCCTTCTTCTGTTTGCATTTCTAGTTTATGATTTTAGAGGATTTTCTTGGGAGGAGAGGCAGAAGAGGGGAGAATAGTTTGGAAAGTTATTCAAGCAAACTGTATTTCCCATGGGTTTATAAAATATCATAAACTGCAATGAAAAAAATGAGAGACAGGGACTGGTGTCTACATTCATCACTGAATGCATACCAAATGTAAGAGTGAGCTGAGCATTTACATCCCTTCTTCAGCTGTGCTGCTGCAAGGTGTGTATTCTGTACATGGAGCAAATACTCCTCCTTTCTGTGCTTATCACTCCTTCCATAGGCAGCAGGATTTGGCATCTGCCTCAAATGTGCCTTTCCACAGCAAGCAGAGTGAAATCTAATCCCATATAACAGACTCCTTAAAACAGCTGAATAGAATATATTGAGGAATCATCAGATATCCCCTTCCTTATTCCCTCTGTTCTGTCTGAAAGGTATCTGTAGGCTCTTCTTGTAAATTCTCTGTATCATAAGGAAAAAGGATAGAGCAGTCACTTTGTTTCATCAGTTTTTCATAATAAGCATTTGGTTCGCTTAACCCTGGCAAAGGAAACTGTCAGTGGCTGAGGTTCTGGTTGTTCCTTCAATAGACAGTTTAACTCAAATTCAAGTGGGACTTCTGCTGAAGTGGGGATTAGATGATTGCATCAAATGCATTAGGAGTTTGCTGGATTTCGCTAAGTAAACAACTGAGATGTTTTCAAAGTCCTAAATCTGTAACTTATCGGATGGTTTCTTGAAATAAGGCTCAGAGTGTGAAAAGATTTGAGCTTTGTTTAAATAACAAATGGTTTGGTACAAATTCATACCTGAGACAGATAAAGGAGAAATAAAAATAGCAACTGAGAGGAGAAAATTACAAGCCATTTCTCTTTTGCAAAACAGAGAGTTCTTATTAAATTAAGTCAAGAAGAGCTGAAACTAGCTCTTATTTTTAGGTAACAATGTAGCTAAAAAGTTCAGGTTTGTTTACTCTGAAAAAACTATATAACCACCAGAGCAACCAAAGCAACATATGGTACCTGGCTACTACCTCTGAGCTCCTGGACAGCTTCATTAGAGGTGCCCATTCCTGCCAAATGAAGGTCTGAGGTCTGCTTTTGTCACTTAGTGCTGCTCCCTTAGAGGGGTTTCCCAGTCTGCAGACTCACAGTGGTTTGTTTTACAGTTGCACTGCTTTTGAAATGAGCTCTGTGGCCTCCAAACACAGTCCTTCCCCCTCTGTTTTCCTGGTAGAATTCAAGTAGTCTATGGAAATGAAATTCTGACAGATTTTACTGGGCATAAGATATATATGAAATGACTGATGTGCCTTAAAAGTAAGTTCTTTGCAGTAAAAATATTCCGTGGTCATTATAAACATTAAAGAAATAATGCTTCAGTTTTTCTTTTTTCACTTCCAAACATTTTAAAGAGATTGGTGCAGATACTGAATATCTATAAGCAGCAACATAGTTAAAACCAGGGTATTTCTATGCTTTTAATTTTTCTCGTCACAGTTACTCATCTGATTCAATGCCTCAAGAGGGTCTAATTTCTTCTGAGCTAAATGAAAAGTAATATTCATTAATAAAGATGTGCAGTTTACACCCTTTTTAAGTGCATTTCCCTCTAAATTAGTCAATACAGACGATTTCTATAAAAATTGTTTTTAATGTAACTACTGAATATGCTTCTAGTAAAATGGGGCTGATTTACTTTTTTTAAATATAGTGGTCTCTTATTACTTGTAATAGCTGAAGGCTGGAATTTGCAACATATTGTGTGGTGTTAACTTTCCATAAAAAGTTTTCAGCTCTGCTACTCACACTGTGGTTGTGCTTCAACTATAAGCTGGCTAATAGTGTCTACAGGAGAAAAATAGTCTATGCAGCTTTTGCTTAAGAAAAAGGGAGAAGATATGTGTAAAATGTGCTGAGCTGTTTCTTTGATCAGATATGATAAACTGGTTGAAACACTCACTCTCTACTGTTTTGGAAGAATGAAATATTGCTACTAAGCCATATCGATTTTAACAAGTGCTTGATCTTTAACTCTTCATTTGCTCATTTCACCATGAAGAAACATTTCTGTCAGTCTTAAGTGAGATGTTGATGTTTCATTTTCAGTTTTCTGAGTGGTGCTGTTGTTGGTTGGCTATTGAAATATTGAACAGTGTAACTTAGCTGGGATGGGAACTCGGTGCTGCTGTCCCTCAGCCACCTCTGTGGGAGTTTTGCGTGAGAGAGAAATGCAGAATTAGCCTCTTCAGGGCCTGAGGCAGATGGAAGGGGCCTTATAAATAGGAGATTTGACAGGATCACAGCTTTAAATCATTGTCTGAAATAAGAATCAGGCCCTTGTTGTTCTGTGCCATCTCTGTTCACAAGAGTCATGTTGCTGCGAGAGCGCTGGTGTTTTCTGACAAGCAGGTCTGAGATGAAAGTCTACATGCAGCTTTGCACACATTGGCCTGTATCATCCTTTGTGAGTAATCCCAGAAAACTTGAGTGGAATTTACTTGTGAGTCAGGAAGATACAGTGGGCAAGGACTTCAGGAGCTTCCTTAAACATTGCCTCCTTTTTAGTAAACATGCTGGAGGAATTTAAGCAAACGTTTGTGCGTAAATGTAGGAGAACAGAAGGAATGCAATCCTCTCTGCTTAACTCTTGACTACTGTTCAGACCCATAGAAGATGTGGATGAGGGGTTTTTTGACTGTATATTTTTAGTATAAGCTGTGTGAAGAACATTTGTGATTACATCTGTTTTTCACAGAAGAAAGCTGTTGGTCTGTGAGGGTTGGTATTGGCTAGAACAGCATCTGAGAATTGTGAGGATTTTGCAGGAACTGTTGGTAATGAAATCCATTTCAGAAGAAGGTTCTGACCCTAAACTATGACTGCTCTCAAGAAGGAGAAAATATCTACAAGCTGTGCAAAAGGAAGACCAGATGCTATCTGTGAGTTTGTTTTTATGGTTGCTCATTATGACCTTGTTGGTGAGCAGAAAGCAACTAGATGCTTCAGAGAACAAGCTCTAATTTGGAGGGGGAACAGTGCATGAAGAAATGGCTGCCCACAACACTGAGGGAATTCATATTTGCATGCCTTCTTTCTACTGTGGACAGGTACAGAAGAGGAAGCTGCCTTTTTCATTGCACAATAGGAAATGTTAATTTGTGTTCCAGATCTGTGGGTCACCTGGGCCATACAAAAGATGTCACAGGAGAAAGCAGAGAGGATTGCTCACTTCAGTGTTCAACACCAAGCTTAAATTTGTCCTTTGTCCTTGAAATTAAGCCAAAAACACAGTTTGGCACTTGGACCTAAAGGCTATGTGGCATCAATAATGGTACACTGAATATAGTCTAGTTTTAGCAAAAAGCATCAGTTCATATTATACACCCTGCACATCTCTGTTCCAGGGCAGAAGTAGGAGAGTCTGACACTGAAGTCGTGTGAGAAGGGAATGATCAGCAGTTTGAAGAGTCACAGGTATATTGAAAATATACCTAGATCCTATTCTGATAACAGTGCTGGCTTCAGTTTTGTGGGTCCCAATCCCTTGAGCTCATAAGAAAGAACTGGGGAGGTAGAAAATGAGGAAATAGTAGAAATGCTGCTTCTCAAGGAAGAAAAAAGTGGCAAATTGCCGAGAGTCATGTTTAGATCT